AGCTTTCTACAGTCTTTCTCCATTTAAATAAAATGCAGTTGCTCTATTGTTCCTGCCAAAGTGCATAATCTCATATTTTTCCACATTATATTCTATCTGTCAACTTTTTGCCCACTCACTTAATCTATCTTAACCTAGAGGGGGAGGTGATGGCCTAGCGGTATTATCAGAGACCCAGATAACGTCTGGGGACCGGGGTTCAAATCCTACCATGGCAGATGGTGGAATTTGAATTCAATAAATATCTGGAATTAAGAATCTAATGATGACCATGAATCCATTATCGATTGTCGGGAAAACCCATCTGGTTCACTAATGTCCTTTAGGGAAGGAAGCTGCAATCCTTACCTGGTCTGGGCTACATGTGACTCTAGACCCACAGCAATGTGGTTGACTCTTAACTGCCCTCTGGTCGATTAGGGATGGGCAATAAATGCAGGCCTAGCCACTGATGCCCTCATCCCATGAATGAATAAAGAAAAAAAAAGACTCTTTGTGTTATCCTCATTTCCTAATTGCTTGCTGTAGTGGCATAGAAACCCTTTGTGATTCATGCACTAGGACACTCAGATCCTTCTGCATCTTAGAGTTCTGCAATCTCTCTCACTATTTAGAACACAGACCATAGAATAGTATGGCATAGGAACAGGCCCTTCAGCCCACAATGCTTGTGCTGACTATGATGCCATTCTGAACTAATCCCATTTGCCTGCACATGGTCCATATCCCGCTATTCCCTGCTTGTTTCATGTGTCTGTCTAAATGCCTCTTAAATTAATTGCCATTGTAACTGCTGCTACCACCTCCCCTGGCAACATGTTCCAGGCACCTACCATCTTCTATGTAAAATAACTTGCCTTACATATTTTTTTTGTTCAGCCTGCCAAATTGACAATTTTATGTCTTGCCACATTATACTCATTTCCAAGATCCTTGCCCACTCACTTAACCTATCTATATCTTTTTTGTAGCCGCTCATATCTCTATGTTACCCTATGTTCATCTTTCTACCACAAGGGCCAATCAGCCCATCTCTCAAATACCCTCATTCCCCACATACCCAAAGTCATCCCAATAGCCCTTATTAGCTCCTTTGCCAATTCAGTGCCAAAGCACAGCTATTAACCAACACCTTTTACCCTTCCATTTCCACGTCAATGAGTCCATTAGCCAGCATGGGCAGAATTCGGGAAGCATGCTCACAGAAAATAAAGCTATCTTGGTGATGTCACTATTGTAACAAAATAAGGCTCTCATTGATGCAAAACCATTCAATACATTACTTCAACTAATCCCTTATGAAAACAAAAATTTCACTTAGGCACTTAATCCTTTATGCCAGTAATCATTCCCATTCAATAAACAGTTGGAGTTGCCTACAAAATAGCATCTCAAAGCATCCACTCTGAAATATATGGCATTGTATTTCTTTTTAAAACTGCATACATTTTTGGATAGTTCCTTGATAACATTGACAGTCCCAATGAGTTTAAGCACTTCTTATGCAGAAGTATAACTTTTCACACAAGAGGTAACTTATCTTCCCCAAACTTGTCCCAAGATCAGATCCATAGAGATATTTTGCAATTCCAGAAGAGGAGAAATAGAAAGCATTTCCCCAGCTCTCACTCTTCACACTTCCAACACTCCACCTCACTCCACACACTGCCCAAGCTGCATCCATGCCACCTAACGCTATCTACACATTTCCATGGCCCCTCATATCCCTTTTTCTACACTATGCCGTGCTACCTATTGCCATGACCTCTTAAATACATACGCTAACTTAGTGCCTACTTTCACTCACAATACTTTCCCCCTTCAGCTACCATACAATCTCATTTAACTATCTACAATTAACCATACACATAGGAAAAAAACATTTTAGTTTCATTTCTCAAAGTTCTTTATCAAAGACTACACTTTACTGAAAAATAAACACTCTCATTCAGGAGAAAACGCATTTTGGCATTTGCTGACACTTCTCGACAGACTGTTTCTCACTGACACTTCCTGACATGTCAATGCTTGCTGACAGGTCTTGACACATCTTGACAAATTGGACAGTTCCATTTGGTTTATGCACTTTTTACACAATCTTCTCTACAGTTAAGTCCTAAAGCACACCTAATCACCAACACACACACCCTCCCTCACAAGGGTCCTTGACGCCCACCACTAAAGGATAAGTGACAGCCCTGCCAACACCCACATTTCCCAACAATAAACCCTGATCCCCATGCCCAAGGTTTCCTTGGATTATGTCCACAGGGATACACTGTCTATCTAAAATAAGTGCACAAAGAACAGGCCTGGGTTTACTTGGCCTAATCTCCACATTGTAGACTCCCAGACACCAGCAACTCCAAACTCAGCCTTCACTGAAGGTAGATGGTCATTTCATTTGACAGCTGCCTCCAGAAACTGCACTAGTGTGAACTATGGACTGCCCCCATGAGAAGAGGAGATGGGAAGGACTTGGGATTATTTCCTTCTTCTGGCATTTTCACCACACCAGAGAGGTGGTGTTGCTGGCCAAGAAGGTTGTCTGGCAGCTCCAAAGCATGGGAGTTTCTCCCATCAAGAGATGAACTTCCCGCTCTGCATCAATCTAACTGCACATGGTATATTATGGCATTGGGGCAGGTTTCGTCTGAGTCTGTCACTGGCCACTATCATTCCTCCTGGGCATTGAGCTGGATGTTATCCTATTAAACTCTGCCCAATTAAAAAAAAAGCTAAAGTGGAGCTAGCGTTTAAAAATACTGAATACACATACACACACACACATATATAAAAAATGAGTAGCTATCCATTCTTTTATTCTGGCAAAGAACATCACCTTCTCAGGAATTCAGTACCACAGCAACAGTCTAACACCAAAACATTATGTGTTTTCGAGGAGGAGGTAGGTACAGTGCTTGTGGATAAAGGGGTCAAGGGATATGGTTGGGGGTGGGCGTCATTGGTGTAGATTTGGGTATTGAGCTTGATCATTTTGAATAGTGGAGCATTCAAAGAATTCTCCTTTCTCTCAGGTCTTTCATTTTTCCATTTACCTTGTATATGTAGTGTCTTCTGGTTACTGACCTTTCCTGCCTATAGAAACAGTTACTACCTTTATACTCAACATCTAATCTCTGCACGTAACTGAAATCCCTCATCTCCAGTATCATAAAAGCAGAACTCTTCTATACCTTCACCAATGCCTTGACATCTTTCAGAAAGAGAGTGATTGACACAATTTCGCTTTACAGGCTAAGCTGGAGAATTGGAATAGAAACAAAGGTCCTACAAACAGCAAGGAATTCATGACTAGATAATCTATTTATTTATATGATGTCACTTGATTGATAAGTATTGATCAGGACAGCAGCTCTTCAGAAGGAAGATGAAAAGAAAATTGCACAATACTACAGGAGTGTGTGGAGAAACTTCCAATTGATATGAAGATGAAATTGTACAAGGGTACATCTTGATGCTGATGCCAACTTCAGATGTTGATCTGTGACAGCAAAAAGATTTACCATAAAGTATCAAAATTATTTGAAAGACTGTGGTTGTGTGAAAGGGCTTCAGGATGACATGTATCACAGACACATTCAGGAAAGGAGTAGTTCAGATAATTATAGATCAAGGCACTCACATCATGGCAGGGAAATTGCTGGAGATAATAACGAGGGATAATACTAGCAAACGATTTGGGCTAATAAGTGTCAATTCACATTTGTAAACAGTAGGTCATGGTCAACTAATTTAATCAAATTTTTATAGGACATTATACCATGTACAGACAAAGGGAATCCAGTGATTTGAACCATTTAAATGTTTTAAAAAAAGCTCTTGAAGCAGTGCCAATTAATAGATTAAAGTATCCATGAAATACATGGGGATGGATGTCTGCAAAGGGAGAACAGGGGTAAATGAAAGTTTCTCAGAGTGGCAATGTATACCTTTTTCGAAACTCAGGTGATCTGAGTGACAAACATTTAAGGACGGATATGAAAATTTGCTGATGGCATTAAGTTAAGAGCACGGTAAAACTGACAGGAAGAATGCAGGGTGCTGGATGAGGGTATTGACAGAGAGAGTTTACGGGAGCAGACAGTTTGTGCAAATTCAGGGGAACCAGGCTAATTTGTCAAGTAGAACAGTTTCTGAAAAAGAACAGCAAATTTAAGTGATACCAAAAATAAATTTCTCAAAGCTGTGAAAGGGTACAGAGATTTAAGGGTACAGATTTTTAAATGCAGTTATGCAGTTACAAAAACCAACAGAACTACAAATGTTGTAAATCAGAAACAAAAACAGAAATTGATGGAAAAGCTCAGCAGGTCTGGCTGCATCTGTGAAGAGAAATCAGAGTTAATGTTTCGAGTCGGGTGGTCAGTTCTGAGGAAGGGTCACCGGATCTGAAATGTTAACTCCAATATCTTTTCACAGATGCTGCCAGACCTGCTGAGCAATAAAGAGAGTAATTGGATTGGCACAAGAATGTGATGGGGTCTGTACAAAATATTGGCTTGACCACAATGGAGGGTACTGTGCCCAATTTTAGAAACCTTGCTACAATGTGTATAAAGTATAGAAAATAAAGGTTATGGAAAAGGCGTAAAAGAAATGTAATGAAAAGAGAGGACTTGGGTACAATAACTGAGTTGGACTATGTTCACTGCATGACAGAAGCTAATGAGAGATATGGAATGGTCTGAACACTCAAATACAGTCCCTACCCATTTAAAACAGGGGTCAGTGCAAATTTCCTGTCCACCATGCTCAGTGGCCAGTGTAGGTTGATGGCCAAGAGCTCCAAAATGGCTGGCAATGTGCTTTCTCGCAACTTCTTCAACATTACAATTACAGCCTGTGCAAACTTGCCAAAATAAATCATTCAAATGTGACTTCTCAAGCAGCTGTTGACACTTGCCATCGCAGCATGGTTACTTTTTAAGCTGAACTGCTTCAAAACAAATTATTTTTCCAAAGATAGAAACCAATACCTTGAAAGAGTTCATGTTCTGTAGTGAAGGAGGGAGAGAGGCAGTTGATGAAGCTAGGATGAGTAACAACTGCAGGCAGGTGCTCACTGGAAGGGTCATGCAGTGTACAGAAATATTCTTCTCCCACTTCTCTTCTGCACTGAAAAGAAAGAAAAGCTCCTTTTGAAAAGCCAATATTTAGAAATGTCCAAGAAAATATTTCAAAGACTGAACTTCTAATTAAAACCATGATAAATGACTGAGCAAAAAGGTAATCACAACATCATATCCTGCATTTATATATATACATATATGAACTATACATCTAATAACGTGCATTAAATAGGTTGGAATAAATTACAGTTGAATTCAAATGCAGACATTTATTTCAAGTAAACAGTTTCTTATCTAAGTTGAGACAAATGACAGAAGAAGAGGAATCCAGGTGCAAATCTAGGGTAGCGAATTATTCTCGGGCATTGCAAAGATCAGATCAAGTCCATAATTTCATTCATTTGGATGACACTAGATTAATTTATAAATGCTTGCTGAAAAACCAAAAATAATGTCTCGCTCAATAAAAAAAATCTCAATAGTGCAGCTGTACACGATTAATGAAACTAATTTGAGTCTCCAGTTAATTTCAATTTCCATTTTTTTCTGGAAAATGAAATCACTGAATCACAGTTTAATGAAGCACAGCAGCAACCCTCCCCCAACTCTCTCAAAACATTAACTCACTCACACACACACACGCACACACACATCACATATGCAGATACTGCACTACTCCTTCAGAGGCTATATTAAAAGTCTGGACACATGAATTCTAACCCTACCATTACACAGGATTTATACATTTTTTAAACATGTACATTTAAAAAGTAGCTACAAACTGCACTGGTCGCCACAAAAGTACAACAGATAACCTTAAAACCCATCTGGTTCATAAATGTCCTTGCGTGAAGAAAATCTGTAACTGTTTTGTGGTGTGGTCTCTATGTGACTTCAAGCTCAGAGTAACCCAACACCTCTATGAGCAAGCAATGCAGTTGTACTCAAGTCAGTGATTAGGGGCAATTCAGGATTGGCAATGTTCGACAACGAACGAAGATAAAATACATTGCAGGCTCCAACAAAGAGGAAAGAGATTCATGTTTAGGGAAGCAAACAAAAACAGGAAGGCTTTTCTTTTGTTCCTCAAAGCACGGCTACAATTTCAGAAACAAAGCAGTGTGCAAAATAATAAATGGCACTGCTCATAATATTGGACACACGGCAGAAAAAAAAGTGCACTCAATACAGTTCCTTTAATTTAGAAAATACTGCCCCAAGGTTCCTTACTGAAGAAAAATTAATAAAAAAAGGAAAACAAATTAAAGAAGGTAAGTCAAACTCGCATCCCTTTCTCCAACTGATTTTGTTGTTCTTTCTACTTGAATCCAATAAAAATGCCAGCAGTCGATGTGCTCTTTCTTTTCACCCCTGCTCAAGAGGTGCGTTAGTTAAAGTGCAGATAAACAGAGTTATGGTTGTTTTGCTCGAAGACATTTTATGCAATAAACATTTCATTTAAATGCTGTCATTGAACATACTGTGCATCAGTTATCACCAAACACATTTCCAAACTTTAACTAGGACAAGTTTCTTGATACAAATAATATTGTAAAGTATATGAAACAACTTTATTCTTGGATAAAATAAGGAACTGCAGATACTGGAAATCTGAAACAAAAACAGAAATTGCTGGAGTAACTCAGCATCTATGGAGTGTAAACAGAGTTAACATTTCGAATCCAGTGACTCTGTTTCAGAACTGTTCTGCAGAAGGGTCACTGGACTCAAAACGTTAATTTGGCTCTTTAATCTTGCATTTAAAATAAAATGATTCTATGAGGATAGGCATGTTTAGGCATCCAGGGTGGGGCTGAGAACACCAGATCATTTTGATTTTCCGGCCAGCTGGCAGCCCATTGTATATATATTTTTTTAAATGCACTAATAATTAATTAACATATTCTCCCCTTCCTAAGAGAAGATAATGAAGGAGGCAGTGTCGGGTGTCTTGAAATGTATTAAGGTAGACAAGTCTCCCGGGTCAGATGGGACCTATCCCAGGATACTCTGGGAGGCAAAGGAGGAAACAGCTGGGACCTTAGCAGATATCTTTGCATCCTCTGTGGCCTCAGGAGAGGTTCCAGAGGACTGGAGAATGGCCAATATCATTCCTTTTTTTAAGAAGGGAAACAGAGATAATCTAGATTATTACAGGCTGGTGAGACTCATGCTAGTGGTGGGGAAGCTGTTGGAGAAGATACTGAAAGAAATGATTTATTCACATTTGGAAGCAAATAGACTTGGTAGTGGTAGACAGCATGGGTTTATGAGGGGAAACTCATGTCTCACCAACTTGATTGAGTTTTTTTGAGGAGGTGACAAGAATGATTAATGAGAAAAGGGCAATGGATGTTGTTTACATGGTCTTGGTAAGGCATTTGATAAGGTACCTCATGGCATGAGTGTAATGGGATCCAGGGTGAGCTGGCTCGATGGATTCAAAACTGGCATGGTCATAGAAGACAGAGAGTAGCAGTGGAAGGGTGCTTTTCAGAATGGAAATCAGTAACCAGTGATGTTTCACAGGGATCAGTGCTGGTACCTTTGTTGTTTATAATATGATCTGGATGAAAATGTACGTCGTCTGATTAGTAGGTTTGTGAATGATACCAAAGAGTTGCAGATGGTGAGGAGGATTGTCAAAGAATACAGCGAGATATAGACAGATTGCAGATTTGGGCAGTGAAATGGTAAATAGAGTTTAATCCGGACAGATGTGAGATGATGTATTTTGAATGATCAAATTCAGGTGCGAATTATACAATAAATGGCAAAACGCTTAGGAACACTGATATACAGAGGGATCGCAATGTACAGTTCCACAGATCCCTGAAAGTGGCAACACAGGTAGATAAGGTGGCAAAGATGGCAGAGAGCGCTCTTGCCTTCATCAGCTGGGGCACTGAATATAAAAGTTGATAAGTTACTTAACAGCTGTATACAACCTCAGTTAGGCCACATTTGGATTATTACATGCAGCTCTGGTCGCCAAACTACCAGAAGGACGTGGATTCATTGGAGAGAGAGCAGGTTTACAAGGATGTTGCCTGGTCTGGTGGTTCTTACGTATGAGGAGAAGTTGGATAAATTCACTTTGTTTTCACTGGAAAGACAGAGGCTGAGTGGTGACCTGATAGAGGTCTACAAAATTATGAGTGGCATAGATTGGGTGGATAGTCAGAGGCTTTTTCTCAGGGTGGAAAAGGTCAACCACAAGAGGGCACAGGGCTCAAGTTGAAAGGGTTAAGTTTAGGAGAGACGTGCAGGGAAAATTTTTCACAGAGATGTTGGTGGGTGCCTGGAATGCACAGCCAGTACGGGTAGTAGAAGCAGGCAAGTTAGCAATGTCTAACGATACCTTGATAGACACATGAATGGGAGGCAAAGAGAGGAATAGAAACCAAGTATGGGCAATAAGTAGTGGGTTAAGGAATAGGAATTCGTGCAGGCTTAGTGGGCTGAAGGAATTATTCTTGTGCTGTATTGTATTGTATAAATATGATCCATTAAATGACTTAATTTATATTAATCAGTGTGAAGCATATCCATGTAAATTAAATTTCATCTATCATGAGAACTTATTAGAAATTTAAATAATCATAGATAAGACACAATGGTACCCAGGTTTAGTTTTGTTCCTTGTGTATTTTGAAAGGGGACTATTTAAAGCCTCTTCCAATTAACATATTATTTAAAACTGCAACACACAAGGAATTAGTTGTCTTTTGAGACAAACTTGTTTTCGGTCTGATTAGAAAGATCATGTCATCCTACTGTAAAGATTAAGTAGGTTATTAATTCTTGGAGTTTTAAATTAACTTGTTTAATAGTTCTATAATCCAACAAAGGACATTAAACAACTCAGTTTCAACTGACAATTCTCACTCAAAAAATGAGCAACTATTATTACTCAATTACACATCTAAATGCTATAAAAATAGTAACAACATGATTGTTGCAAAGCTACATTTGTAGAGACATTAATTTAAATGCTTGAACTAACAGCTGATATTTCAATGATGTTTATAAATAGAAAACAAACTTTGATGCTCCATTTAACCGACAGCGAATGCAGAATCTCAAAATTTTAAACTTATTAAAGCAAGGTCTAAATTTGTAAAGTAACTATGTTTGTATAAGTTTCCATGAAGAAAACAGATCCATATTGCAATTTCTTTTCAGTCTTGTATTGTTGCAATGAACATTTTCATAATACATTGCCAGGGTTTGGAAGTAAATTGTTCAGAAGTACTGGACACTATCCTCTATTGGTCCACCTTGAACAGTTTAATGGCTTGTTAACACTCATCTGCCAAGGTTTGGACTTGAAGAACGTGTATTAGCTTGAAGCATCAGAAGTTGGCCACTTTATTTTTATTTATCCATGCGACATAGGCATTGCTGTCTGGGACAGCAGTTATTACCCTTCTGTCATTTGTCGACCATATTGGAGTAAGTCTGAAAAACCGGTCAACTTATCAATTAAACAGAGATGTCACTGTTTTAGTGGTTCTTCACATTGAAGGGTGAAAGAAAACTGGAGTGTCAGTGACTCATCGCACACTGCTCTCATGTATTTCTTGGCGTGGGACACATAACAGCATTGGCAAAGATCAAGGTGAAAGTCACTGACTCTGCCTCTCAGCTACAGCACAGAGAAACTGAAAAAGAGGAGGAGAAAAGAAAGGAATTTAAATGGAATTAGTGGCAAAATGATGTAAAGTCAATATGTGAAGAAAATGAATTGTAATTCATACACACTTTTTTTGCAAAGAATAAATGCTTAAGGCTACAATTATTAATCTTCTAAGGAGAAGATGAGCCCATTGTAACTTACAACTTTTCTATAACTGGAAAAGAAAAGTGTTGAGAATTGAGTTTTGAGATTCCTTTATTAAAGATCTAACAATGTACATTCAGGTTTTTTTTAAACATTGCATGAATTGGCCACTTCTTTATATGCATTTTTAAAATATTTTTGTGCTTCAATCCCAAATTTGCCTAATCAGACGCCCAAGTAATTAATTACTATTTAAACACTGC